AACCTAAAGATCTTTTGCCCAGGCAGCAGGGTGCAATCTATTTTGGGTCAGGATACTTTAACGTTATTCTTGGCTAAGTTACTTTCAGAAATATTTTTCTCTAGTGATGGATATGAAGTTCTATTTTCGTGCCACAAAACTACTGATGCCCTGATGCTCTGTTGACAGTGGGTTTCTCCTTTCTTTTTACACTGGGCATAGAAAATGTACCTCAAGGTGAAACACACAGCACACTTGCTTCCGGCTCATTATTTCCTGGAGTGGAGTTGCTCAACGATGACAAAATTAGCTACAAGTCTGAAACCACCTTATTTCATTCACATTGCTACTACATATATATTATCTATATGCTTCAAGAAGCCAGCTATCTGTAATAGGTGACCTTTTATATCTTCTTTTTTTTCTGGATGAATAGGTGAGCAAGGAGTAGCTTGCAGTTAGTGCCCAAGAAGGGTCTCTGTAGTTCTCTAACAGTAGAATTTGATTTTGTGGGGACTGAGGAGAAAATTCTAGACCTCTGAGCTCCAGATCGATGTTCTAAGAGATTCCCTCTCTGTCTTGCAGATTTAAAATTCTCAATGAGTATCAGAACTGTCACGAAGACTAGGAAAAGTCATCTGTCACACAGTCAGTACTAAGTATTATTCTGAGAAGTGAGAAATAACAATATCATCATTATTGCTGGGGGTGGAAACATAGCAGTAGAACACAGAATTAAAACAAAAGCCTTTTCTCTTTCCAACAGGAAAAAGTAATGCCATACATGCATCTGATTTTTAACAGATTTTGCTTCCAAGAGGAGTTGTAGATTCTCAGTGAGGTTTTATCATTTCTGTAGATCCCCTGCTCCCCTCTTACTGCCCCCAGCCTTTTGTACTCTCAATACAGAGAGGGGCATTTGCTCTCACCATAGAGCCTGCACTGAGATCACTAAGCTGAGCTCACAATTCACATGTGGACTGACACTCATGTCATGTTGATTTGCGTTTTATTTCTCTGTTGGGAACAAAATTCATGCTGGGGATGGAGAGAAGGCCTTCTGCTTGTCACTTTGAACCTTTGGCTATTTACTGATGGTGCTCTGTCACTTAGGAGTCAAAGACCAGTTTAAAATTAAGAGGCATATAATATGGATCTTTTACTCAAATGCAAAGTAACTTTTTTTCATTAACCCACTTCCAGAGGCAAAACAGTCAACTCTGCCACCTCCTTAGTGTCACATCAGCTTCCTTTCTTGTTCTAGATCTCACGGTTCCCTGAACTCTACTTTTTTCCTTTATTTGCAGGCTTTATCATGTCCCATCATCTTATATCATTTATATTATTAGTTTATTGCCTCAAAAACAAACAACCAACCAAAAAAATGGAGGTGTCTTTTGGGTGGTGGTCACTGAAGTTGCTCCAGTACTTTGGACTGTCATTTGCATGTAGTAGACATTCATAAATGACCGCTGAGGTCTAAGAATATAGCTCTGTAGTAGAATGCTTACATAGCATATGTGCAGCCCTAAGTTTCGTTCCCAGCAATTAAAAAAAATAAATAAACAAACACACACTTTTTGTTGAATGGATAAATGAAAATGCTTTCTGAACTATGGGACTTTAAGAAGGGATTATGGCACATGGTTAAGAGGCCCAATGGAGGAAAATGATGAAGGAAAGATCCCTAAGTTCTGTAAATCACTAGTGTTTTATTATTTTTCTGGCTCCTTTGGATTCTTGTGAAACCATGTGGCTGTTCTACCATGTGAGTCAGCTGGGGCACATGAGCTTTCAAGACATGTGCTGTTCACAACACCACTGGATTACAACACAAATTCTCACTAAGCCTTGACACAAAATGGGTATGAGGCCAGAGGTAGGGTGATGCAGTCAGGGAGCAAGAAAGGCTTCTCCCCAGGCGTCCAGGGCAGGCTGATGATTCCCAGGGTTTCTTCTCCCTTCCCAGGTACACACATTCTGCTAATGATGATGAAGGCATTCCCTGAGATGGTTAGTGAATACCAAGACAAAACACCATTCATGCAAATTAAAAATCCACAATAAAAATAATAATAAAAATTCAAGAGCAAAAGAATTGGGAATTTTAAAGTAAATGGATAGGGCAAAATGGGTTATAAAATGATGTATGGGAAATAAGGAAAATTCACTGTCTCTTTACACACAATACAAGAGCTCTGGCTACACAGTGAAAGGAATGTAGTAGCAGGAGAAGCCAAACTATAATCAAGAGACAACACATAAGGATAGAGGACAGCATCCATCTAAAGGGCCCTATTCCCCTGTGATTTCTGAATACCCAACTCTGGGATTTATAATGTACATATGCATATATATACATATATATATATACTTATGTACAATATACTGTATATAATTATATATATATATATATATCACATGATCTATAGCATGCTACACCATGTAGTTAGATCCATAAAGCACAATTATGTCATTTGATTTAAATATAAATGAACAATGTATCCCATGGGGTACATCCCTACTTAATCTTGATTTCCCCCTGCTGTGATACAGGCTCTGTCTGGGCAAGAGCTGTCTTGTACTGTGCCTTCAGAGCAGTGTCTGTCACCACACAGGCATCAGTAATAAATACTTCCATGAATGAATGAATAATAACTAATTATCCGGCTCATCTTGTTCTCCACTCCACTAGGGCTCTGACTGACACTCCACCTTCTGTTCCCAGATACCACATACAGGTAAGGGAGATGAAGGACTGGTGATGCCCTCTTATTACCAAAGAGTGGGCCACACAGTTTCAAATCAATTAAGTCTGAAGATTTGCCTCTTGACAACTCTTCAGTCATTAAGCCAGACACTGACAACTATCCAAGATACAGGGCATCAAGGAAGAACCCCACAATATTTTGGCTATGCTAAGCCCACTTTGTTGTACTCCTAGCTCATCTGCCCTGGTTGAAACAAGTGTGTCACTGCCAGCAGTGACGTGGCTTCAGCTGCTTAACCAGAGGCTCAGAAGGAAGTTGGTGAATGGACGTAGACCAAGGGTGCCAACCACTTCTCAGCATTAATACAAAAACTATGCACACCAGCTCTATTGCCAAACCCTGATCACATGAGCTGGCTTTGTCCTACACCATGGGCAGTGGTCAAATGAGGACAGCACTATTGCCATAAGTTTCAGACTTAATCCAACAAAAGAAAACTTGGACCAATTTAGTGTATTGGATTAATCCCTAAAGCTGAAATCTTTACAGAACTTATTCAAGAAGGGAAATCACGTGTTTGATAATTAGTTGTACTACTAAACATCAGCGTGATATTCTAAAATTACCCTTTATTACTTGTAAAATGTCCAGTCTTGGGAATATGGAGGGTATGGAACAAGTATCAAAGAGAGCAGTCTACAAATACAGCAATTTACAACGAATTAGAAGTTTTCTAAAAACACATTAAAAAAAAAAAGCCAGGTCCTTGCCAAGTAAATGACCAACCAAATTAGAGCTGTAACCAAATTAGAGCGATTATGTAACTCCCAATTTGCAGAAATCCATGTTTAAAAAGGTACAGGATGAAAGAAAAATTAGTACATATAGAAGGCAAACACACACGAATCTGCTAGCACTCGACATATCGGTCTGGAATCACAGCTTCGATGGATGAACATCTGAGATGATCCAACCTTTTTCGGACATCGTGGTACAACCACCAGCTGTAGCAACTGTGACCATGTCACAGGGAGGGCACCCCCTGATTTACAGTGAAGGAAAAAAAGCAAGCCTGCATCTTTGTGGATGTGGAGTTCTGTGAATCTGCCTTGTCAGTGTGAGGCAAGGCAGCACCCCCCTCAGCTGGGGGAAGATGTGCTCACACAGTGTCTTCTCAAAAGGCTACATCCTCAGAGCCCCAGACATAAACTTAACATAAAACACAAGCACCAAAGCCCGAGTTCCTTGTAAATCTCCCATCGCCCACATTACAATGCTGCCTTCCTCTGTTTCCCCACTTGGGATTCCTTCCAAACCCTTCGCTCTGTTTGCTCCGGCTCCACCCTGCACTATCTTTCTCCCATCGCAGCCAAATCTGGCCTCCATGTTTTGTCTGCTCAGCAGGAGAACAATTTCAACAATCTCTGTTTTATAAGATCAGTTTATTCCTCCCAATATAATAATTGGTTTCAGCTGAACCTGGACGCCAGGCCTCGGCCGGGTTCCACTGTAGTACTAGCAAAAGAGCAGACACTTCCTGCTGCAGTAGGTTTTTATTTGTTTGTTTTTGTTTTTTTCAGAGTGTACTCTCTTTCCAGGTACTCTCTTAGGCCTAGAATAGAACATTTACAAGGTACTTCTTCAAAATGCAGTCGCATTTCAATAACCTAGATCTTGAAAAAGATACAATGGACTTGGATCATGGCAATCTTATGTTGCTTTAAAAAATGTTTAGATGGAATTTTCTTCCATTTCTCAGACTATAATGTCATGAAGAGCATAAAACTAACAGCCATTGCTGTGACCTGCAAACAGGAATCAGTGCTAATAGTCTAACAGGCCTTTGCAGGATCATATACAATGTGGGTAAGTGAGAAAAGGGACTGGCTTAGAGGTGAGATGAGAGGAATAATTCTAGACACTCCCTGTTCCCAACTCGACAGAGAAGTCAAGCAGGGCATTACATCTTATAAAGAGAATAAGCAAGATGACTTACACAAAGGATAATCGAAACAGGAAAAAAAAAAGTCACGATGTCCACCCAGAATCCTCAGCTCCAACAGTTTTCACTCCTTAATGTGGCGTGGGTGTGGGAACCACCTGTGTGTATTTTCACCACCACAACCTCAGGTTATTCTACTTGTAAATGCCAGCTATGCTTTTCAGAGCAAGTCACCTTGACATGCAGAAGCCTTGAGTCTTGAATTACACATACCTTTTAAGCCTTGGAGCCTTTTTGCCTGCACAACAGAAAGCTGTCTCTCAGCTTCCTCGGGCCAGAGTTACAGGATTTCCTATGGGTTCTCTTACCTTCACACGTGCGACCATCTGCAGAGATGGAGAACCCTTGTTCGCAGACACAGTGGAAAGACCCGTGCGTGTTTAGACACTCTCCATGAGTACCGCAGAGCCCCGGCTGTGCACACTCATTAATGTCTGCCATTGAAAAGAGAATTACAAATATTTGAAATGAGACCTATTGTTTCCCTCTAATACCAGTCACACAGAAGGGAAAACTTATTTTTGAAAGAGGTTGACCTCTCTTTCTTGACCCAGCTGTGGCACCTGTCCACATTAGAGACCACAAGACAAGCTGAACTGTCAGAAGGGGCAGAGGACTTAGGGTGACCCACATGACAGTGACTGTTCAACCATGTCAGCCTATAAAAACAGCCATCTTCAAGGTTCAGCCCATAGTTGGCCTGCTTAGACATAGCAGAGCCTTGAGCACTATTAATGAGCAATCTGAGAAACAGTCATCAATGAGAATGATGTTTCCTCCCTGTCATCTCCCCCTCCCCCACCCCCACCCCCCAGAGTCCTGGAGAGCTGGAGTCCTGTCACACCTGCTTCTCCCTTCCCAGGAGGTGGACTTCCTCAGGGCAAAACCAGGAATGCCTTGAATATAGTCTTTAGCTCATAGGTGCCACTCCATAAATATCTGCTGGATATATTGGAAATAAATTCCAATCTACATTTCACTGAAAATGAATAATGGAAAAAATAAGAGGAAAAGAAGGCCAGGGAAGTTATGATTTGCATGTCTTTGTGATGATGAACTGAGTAACGGTGAAGTGTTTAGTGGAAGGCTTAACACAAACCTAGAGGTCCAGAAGTGGCTGCTGTTATGATTTGTAAACAGCTGATGCTATAGGCAAAGGGCGAACATCTTATATTCTGTTGTCCTTATGCTTCCAAGGCCAGAGAGACAGAGGCACTCTAAGTACTGTTAACATGTGAAATTAGAAAGCAAAATGTTCTTTCAAACCATTTCTAATCATGTTGGCTAACATCGCCCTTGATGACAAGAACACAGGGAAGCCAAGGGCAGCTTACCTAGTCACAGTAGTACTACACACACAATGGATCAAGCACTGCATTGTCCTGGCTAGTTCACTCATCTGTGTCCCTCATGACTCTGTTTGCTTCTTGAAAAGATCAGCATGTGTGACCTGTGAGTTCCTTACCTTCGTGTTGTATACCAATAACGTCATGAGTATCCACCATAAAATTTCTTGCCATATCTAATTTACTAATGGAACAGTGATTGGTTTGGATTCTTTTAGGTAACTGATGTCCGAAAAAAACATGATCACATGTTCTCAGCACTATCCAAGCAGGTCACTTTGGTAACCTTAAGTTCCTTGGGGTCTCTCTTGTCTTTTACTAAATAGGTCCTCAATATTTCTTCTTAGAAGTTCAACTTTATTTCAGTTCAAGTGTTTTCTGAATGCACTCTATAAATGGATGAATAGGATGGATCCCTGGCAAACAGGAAGCTCACAGCAAAATAAGCAGAACATATGTGCAGCTTAACAAAGTCCAGATCCGAGTTCTTCACAGTGGCTTTTAGAGCATGCTGAGCTACAACCCCACTCTTTTCCTTGAAAAGTAACCACTTTCAGTGCATACAGGTCTTCTGGAGGCTCTTCTGCTGGTCCTGCTAATCCCTGTATAAAATAACTTCTAACAACCACAGACTCACTGCTTTTCTTTATTAGCCCTGATTCTACATCTCTCCATAGCCACATAACCTATATTTCTTGGCTTACCCACTGCTGAAGCAAAGAAAGGAAACAACAGACCATCATCAAAAGGAACAGACAGCAGAACAGACACACAAGCAGAATGGGAGAAAGTCTTTTCAACTATATTTCACACAAGGACTTCATACCTAGAATATATAAAGAGCTACAAAAATTAAACATGAAACCAAGAAATCTTCCAGTCAATAAGTAGGCTAGCAAACTGAATAGTCAGTTCTCAAAAGAGGAAATACAAACAGACAATACATATTTTGGAAAGTACTGCACACCTTGGTCTATACGGAGAAAGTGAAAATTAAATTGCCCTGAGGTGCCATCTCACTTTTGTCAGACAGGCTGTCATTAATGAATACTGCTGAGTATGGATCTGGAGAAAGAGGAACCTTTATTCGCTGCCAGCAGAAGTATAAACTGATGCAGCTGCTGTGGAAACAATCTGGAGATTTCTAAAATATTTAAAAATGGAAGTATCATGTGACCCAGCTACACCATTCCTGTGTACCCAAAGGACTCAAGTCAATACACCACAGGGATACTTTGAGATTCACATTTATTGTTACACTGTTCACAATGGCTAGGAAATGGAACCAGCCTCGACAGCCATCAATAGATGAATGGCTAAAAAAATATTACCATTGTATAAATACAATAGAAGTTTATTCAGCCATAAAGAAAAATGAAATCATGGCATTTGCAAGGAAATGACTGGAACTGGATATCATTATTTCAGAGAAATAAGTCAGACTTGGAAAGACAAAAACAGCATGCTTGTTCTCATATGGGGACCTTAATTTGTGTATGTGTGTGGGGTGTGAGCCATGAAACTAGAAAGGGACCTCGAGAGGGGAAGATCTTAAAGAAGGGCAGGAAAACAAGCATAACTGAAGGCACGTGACATGAAAGCAGAAGAGACACAACTGGGGCAGGGAGGGAGCACGGAAGAGGGGGCCAAGGAGACTAGGGAGGAAAGTGGGGGCCAATAAGCACAAAGTATGTACAAAAACGCCACGGTGAAACCCATTACTTTGTATGTTAGCTTTAAAAGCCCACATAAAATGAAAGGAAAATCAGCAGAGACCAGTCATATTTTCCTCTTATCATCTTCATGTCTCTTAAGGACATGCAGCTTGTTTCCTACTTGCCTATTTCTCAGTATGATTTCACATTCTTGCTTTTCATAAAGCCTTTGTTTCTTCCTCACCTGCTGATCATCCATTACGTCGGCAATCTGAATACTTCTCTTCTTTTGCACTTCAGCTCTGTCAGTTCTGTTCTTGCCCTCCAAACTACACCTAGGATCACCTCCATCTGGCCAAGGAGCTCAGCTGCCCTGAACATCAATACCATACGCAAGCTCATCTGTCAAGTTCTCAAGGCTCCCTAAAACTTCCTTTCTGCTTTTACTCTGTGGCTTGATGAAGCCCTTTAGAAACAACCAACACTTTGCAGCTTTGTTTGGTAAACACCCTACACAAAGATTCTGTTTTCTAAGAAGTCATTGGTTAATAAGGAACTGTCTAAAAAGTTTGACGACAGGAACTGCAGGCGAATTCCCAGACTTTCTTCCAGGAAACTGCTAAAAAAGAACAACCCGAATATCTGAAGCTAGCGAAACATGTGCGTTCAATTTGGATTGTACTTATTGAAGCATTCATTTCTGAGCTATGCTGCTAGTAACTCCGAGCCGAAAGCCAGACTATATTTAAGTTGGATTTCTTTCACGGGTCCGGAATGCCATAGAAATTCACAGTTTGGCATGTGTAAGTCAAAACGTGAAACTGAAGTGTGCTCTGAATCTCTAGTGTACCCTGCCACATTCTTGCAGAGACTATTAACATGGAATTTCCATACTGTCTGCACATCACCATTAGTTTTGGGGGACAAAGAGAAATCTTAAGCACACTTCTGACTGAAAATGTCGACTTTCAGAAGGTAAGGCTGCCAAAGTTCATGCCTATCTCACAGTTTCTCAACAATGGTCACTGGGTAGTAACATTGCCATTCATTGCATTTTCAGCATCAGGACAAACTCGGAAACCACCGCTCTAAACAGAGCACTGACATAATCAGAGTAGGCAGACTAAATGATCACAGAGCTGCCTCCAGTGACAGCAGAGGAGCTCACTCAAAGGGAGTGAGTATGCACACTTGTGGAAACAGCCTAATAGGACAAAATGAGCAATGACACAGATTTTTACATATCACTTAAACAGCACATGGAACCTGCTTCAGAAATGCCAGTGAGAAGGCACTTGCTGCCAAACTTGATGACCTGAGTTGGATCTATTGGTCTCATATGGTGGAAGAAGAGAGCTGACTCCTGCAAGTTGTCTTCTGACCTCCATGTGTGGGCTTGTATACACACAGACACACACAGACACAGACACAGACACAGACACAGAGACACAGACACAGAGACACAGACACAGAGACACAGACACACACACACACACACACACACACACACACACACACCAGAAAAAATGCTTATCATATATTTGAACTCAATTCTTTCAAGCTGACCCATCCATTCATTCTGAGAAAAGGATGCAACACATAACAGAACAAATTTACTAATGATGGACAGTTATTAACCACCACACTTTTGGAGCAGTCACATCTTTGAAAGTTGATCTCAAACCACAGACAGGGATTTCATGTATTGAGAGAACATGGTACAATTAATGAGTCAGATGACTGAGTGAGTTCTGGGGGATTTGACTCTAGAAGGTAAATGATAAAATGTTCAGTATGAGCTCTTGGGCCATTTGTACTGAGACCTGGTTTTGCCTCTATTTAGCCAAAAGAAATTAGGAAAGAAAATATCACTTTTCCAGCCAAAAATCCTATAATAAAGATCAAGATTCAAATTTCTTAGGTTTTTCAACTTTTTTCATCTCCTGGCATTTTTATATAAATCAAGATTAATTTTGTTTAAAGTCCTAAAATGGAAATATTTTGACAGAATCATACAACTCAAATGTTCCTTCTCTACAGCATCGTTTGAGCACATTCCATTTCTACTTTGGAAAAATTAAAACCCCAATCTCACTTATTGTGTTATGAAAGCAAAGAAATACCTAATATCAAATGAATTACATGGAGTATATTTAAATCTTGGGACCAAGGATGGAATTAATTCCAAAAGACCTTAAGAGAAAGGTTCGGTCTTTCACAATTCACACATGGGGGAACATGGCTATGACATACAAAGCATTATGTTACTCTAGTATCATATCTTAGACAGAAGACACCCTTTTTGTCAAGGATGTGGGTTGTCTGGAACATACCAGAGGAGAGATCATTTGTGGCAATCAATGGTAATAATAACAATAAAAATATTCGTATGTGTTATCTAATTAGTATTTTGAATATTATGCATAATTTTATAATAGCAGAGAAACATAAAACACTTATCTATGTATCAGAAATAAACATATGTAAATACAATAGTACATTTTTGGTGGGAAAATAGGCATAACCTGTTCGTCATTCATCCATTTCTTCATTCATTCATTCATTCATTCATTCATTTCCCCTCACCCAAGGCATTGATCCCCAGGCCTCTCTCATACTAGACAAGTGCTCTACCACTGAGCAATGTCACTAGTGCCTAAGACTGATAAGTGCAGGTAAACTAGTGGTGGTAGGAAGATGCAGCTAACAGTATTGGACACAGGATCTACCACCACAAACTCAAAACAAAAATAATAAAGTCAGTTATGTCTTCCTGTAGAAAAATCATTTAACCTCACTGTCTTCCTTGATTGTAGGTTCCGACCTCAGTTCCTCACTAGAGAAGACTGAGCATGCACGTTAGCGGCTCTGGGTCTCAGTTATTCACACATAAATGGAATATAAGGAAAACTACCTTTTACATAGCTGTAAGAATTGAAAGAGGCACCAACAGTGAGTGCTTGATTTAAGTTACTGTGATGGTACATATTCATACTTGTGTTACTGTGTCCTTATTAGCATCCTGTATCAGCAGTATTATTGTTTGGGACAATAGATGTTGATAAGCACTTTGAAAAATATGAATTCCTGTTCTTTATTTTAACCAAATCATTAATGAGAGAGAGAAATGGTAGATACTGGACAAAAATGGCATCATAAAAAGGACAAATATTACATCTGAGGCAAAATGAAATACATTCATGTTAGTCACAAACAAGCTAAACAATAATTTAAAAACAAATACCCATAAGGTCCGGCAAAGCACAAGCGACCTCAGATTCAGAAATATGGTGTATGGGACATGCAAGCTTTGTTTAATACAGTGTGGTTCCAAGAAACACATCCCTGTGCTTGATGCAGACCTCAGAAACACACTTCCATCATGCAAAATGCCATCAGTTATGCATGGATAAAGCAAGATTGTCAGGAAGCACCAAAGAACTGAACAACCATGTATGCAATAAAAAGGAAAGAATAGTACCTTGACATCCTTTATTGTCATTTAGCTGGAATCCATCTGGGCATGTGCAGTCATAGGACCCCGCAGTATTGATGCAGTCTCCTCCCTGGCAGACACTACTGTCCTCTAGGCATTCATTGATATCTGCAAGCCAGTGTGCAAGTTAGAAGTAAGCAAATAATATAAGGAAGATTATCCATGTTATGTGTCACATACACACACACACACACACACACACACACACACACACACACACACAAATCACATAAACACACATTGTGTTTTAAGTACATGGTTTTAAATGGATGGCAGTTTTTTTAAATGAAATATTTGGAAACATTTTTTTTTAGCTTAATTGTCTTGTTATGTAGCCCATTCTGAAAGTGTCAATCTTCTGGCCTCAGCTCCCTGAGTGCAAAGGCCATCCAGAAAGATTTCATCTTTGAATAAACACAGAAATTATATGTCTGAGACAGTGTCAGTTAGACACTGGGTTGGCCTGGAACTCACAATTTTCCTGCTTCAGACTCCTGAGTGCTACATGGAAGTTTTAAACACCAAATACAACGAATAGGGAGAGGAAGCATCACAATTTTTTATTAAACAATAATTGACTTGTGTTCTCTGTGATAACAGAGAATACATTTTTAAAAGCACATGTTGTTAAGTGTATCTTAAGCACACTTAACTCCTTGATCAATGTATAAGATCTGGTTTGAAAGTGCTTGGCAAGAGTCCCCACACCAAAGAGAAATGTTATTAAACCCAGAACACCAAATGCCTGTGTATTAATAAAAATAAACACGTATCCCATTCCACTGTGCTATAGGTCCCCCAAATTAACATAAGAATTATTGCAAAATTACCTAACAAAAGAATGCTACTAAATTTAGAGGCAATTTAGAGAAAAGATACAAGGATCAGCGAAGGTCTTACTTGATGTCTTGGCAATAGACCAATGGGGGAGACTTTACTTGTGGAATCAACTAGAGCAGAATCCTTGTTAAGTCTTAGCAACTCTCCTAAACAGACTGCCTAGATTTTTAGCAACTATATATAAAGCATATGTCCAACTCCAAGTGTTTCACAACCAGCCAACCCGAGTTTTGACTGTGATGATTCAAGACGGTCTCAGTGATGCAGAGGTTCACATCAGGCAGATGTTTCCAGGGCTGTATATCACCATAGAGACTTCTAGTCAGAGACCATTACTCCTAACACACTCCACAAGCCCTTCCTCTGCTGGGTCTGTGCAAGATTTAAATAATTAGTGTTCAAGAAAATGGAAGAACAATCCTTCCTTTGTCTCCTCGGAATTTGGCATTCACGGCATTTCTTGCAAGTAATTCTGGGGGTTGCTGATGCAAAGGAGAATTTCAAGGAGGAAGTGAATATAGAAAGTGATGCTGTCTCCCCCACACTTGCCACCTTCTGGTTCAAGGATACTGAATTCCTCGTTGAACCAAATTAACTAATGAAGGAACTGCTATACAAAAAACGGACAAGGGAGGCTTATCATGTCAGCCTGTCAAGATCAAGTTATGATGAGTGAGTGTTTACTCATACTGGCAATGTTCCAAGCATGGCTACTGTAAAACACAAAACGTATGTGACACGCCATGTCAATGCAACTGCATCATCTATCTTCTTTGAAGTATAACTCACAATAAATAACAGCTATTTTGAGAGTCCAGCTCAGTGTACCAAAACATTGGCATACATACCCTACAACCACCACCGTGGTTCCATTACCCATATTTCCACCCCCACCCACCCCCCAAGTAGGATCCCTTTGTGTCTTTGGCATCATCAATTCACAGTATTTCTGAGACTCATCCACACTCTTCTTTGTCAAGTAGTATTTCATTATATGAATATAATCTTTTCACCCCTTCGTCTTTTTAATGGGTACTTAGACTACTGCCATTTTGTCTACTTCAAACAAACACACATGGGTATGTCTTCATGTGAACGTGCTTTTATATTAGTTAAGTAAATTACTGGGATTTACAATAGCTAGATCTTAGAGTAGATTTATGTTTAATGTTTTTAGAAATTGCTTCCTAAAATGGCTGTATCATTTCACACACTAGTTTCTTCCTGGCAGTAGAAGAGACATTCAATTTTTCCATATGTATTTGGCTAACTCCACAGCTTTTCTAGTGGGTAAATATGGGGCAAGCTGATTTTAAATCAGCCTTCCTTTCTTTGCTCCTTACGAAAAGACAGTAACAAAGTGATATGAAATGTATTTGATCGTTAGCATTAAAGAAAAAAAAAACCTCAACTTGAGTCAAATCCAGAGAATGTGAAGTTCAACAAGAAGAAACAGTATATGACCCAGAAATCTGTGTCAGCACAAAGAAGTCTGTGAACAGAAATATTTAATTATCTTATTTTCATTCATATATCAAATTTTGAGAGAAAATAGCATTGTTTTAAAGTGTTTGCAAATAAACATATAGACTTAAAAACTCTTAGTTATCATATAGTCAAGATTTTTATTCATGTTTGCAATATCTGCAACAATATTGAAAAAAAAAAAACAAACCAGAGTGAGGACTATACATGGTGGTGCATGCTTGACAGCCCACTTTGGGAGCTAAGGCAGGAGGATGACAAGATTGAGGGCAGCTTGTGTTGCATAGTTAGCTTGATGCCAGTTTGGGCTAACAGTGAGATCCTGCCTCCCTCCAAGATAATGAAAGGATAACTTGAACATCAAGAGTGCTCAACATGGGATGGTATCCCATGGGGTGGGGTAAACAGAGAGTCTTCTGAGGAATGAAGGAACACATTTTTCAGAAAGTGACAGTGGAATCTGGTCACTTCCCCCACCACCTCTGCATTGTTAAATAACATGGTCTGATGTGGGCCTTCCTTGACCGATAGTCATGTTTGCACAGTCTATAATTCTTTCCTCTCCTTGAAGCTTTTTCTTGGTTTGGAGTCCAGCTTCCTTCCTTCCTATGCCACTTCCTCAGTTCCCTCTGCTTGTTCCTACCCCTGTTCTACATGTTGGAAGACCCAGGAGCTCTTCTCTTTTCCAACAATTCTTCCTCTGGAGTGACTGCACTCAATCTCATGGCTTTAAACACTACATGTATGATGATGGCTCACAGCCCAGGGCTCGCCCCTCAATTCTAGATACTAGCATCCAATTCATTTGCTATTCAAACTTGAACACTCACTCTGGGATGGCAAACTGAACATGTCATGTGGAACTCTCAATATCCACAGAGTCTGCCCCTTTGGGGCTTCAACACCTGCTATTACTTTGAATTCAATGTTCTTCTCATAAATATTCACAAGTCGGTGACCAAAGGAAACCAATACTTCCTTTATTTAAAACCATCCATTTTCAGAACTCCACATGTATCCCACTTTACAAGTTATTACCACTTAACAAGCTATGCCTATTGCTTATTTCTCACACCTTTTGTTAACTTCCTCACTAGAACGAAGGTAATTCCATGAGGGCAGGGATTTCCAGTTTTTAATATATGCTCTATACCTACAATACAGGCTCCTACAAATTCAGCACTAAATGATTATGATAAACAAATATATAAATGCACGAGTCTGACCTGAAAAGAAAAAACTATGACTTCTCACTGTTTTTTGTCTTATTTTGTTTGTTTGTTTGTTGTGGTTGTGTTTGTTGTTGTTGACATATCAACCACAAAGACACAAGGGCCTCAGGATGAAAAGTACTATCTTCTGAGACTCTGAAAGGAGCCTACCAGGGAAACAAACTGGGGAATAGGATCAGGTAGGTATGGAATTAAGTTAGACCTTAGCAGGTCGGAGGCAGAGCCTTTTGTATGCCGAAGGACCTGAGATCTCTAAGAACTAGGACAAGGAGGTCACCAGCATCAGGCTGAGCCTGCTGCACACAGGTGTGAGCCAACACTTAATTTCTGACTCTCAGAGGCCGGCAGGGATGTGGGAAAATAGTGCGTGAAGACCAGGTCTCCACTGAAACTGAGAAAAAAATTACACATGTAAATATAAATATAAAGTCTAACAAGAAGGATGGCTCTTCCTCTCACAGCTGTGCGAGGTATGTGACCATTCACAGACAGTTAATTATGGCAAAAATACATTCCACTGGTGAGGGATGGAAACAGGACTAGGTGGGAATTAGCAGGCTGAAGCGCTAATGTAGTTTCAAAGGGAGCTCTGAGTTAGCTGGATGGACTCCAGTCCTATTTATAACCCAAACACTGGGGAAATTAATCCTGACTTTAAGAGAAATGAGCTTCATTACACATCCAAAGGAAACTTTCCAGTGGAATATAATTATATCTTATAAGCATATATATTAATAAAGTATAAGTTGGTTAAAGGTTATTTTTTGGCTTGTCATGCAATGAATATTTTTAGGTTTTTTTTTTTAGAGACAGGGTTTCTCTGTGTAGCTTTGGAGCCTATCCTGGCACTCACTCTGGAGACCAGGCTGGCCTCAGACTCACAGAGATCTGCCTGCCTCTGCCTCCCGAGTGCTGGGATTAAAGGCATGCACCACCAACGCCCATCTTACAAGTGTTTTAAAAGGCCAGGATAAAAAAATAAACTCTCTGCCCAGTGGTGGTGTCGCATGCCTTTAATCCCAGTACTTGAGGTGTATCTCTGTGAGGTCAGGTCCATCCTGGTCTACAGAGTGAGTTCCATGACACTCAGGGATACACAGAGAAACCCTGTCTCTAAAAACCAAGCACATAAACAAACAAACAAACAAACAAACAATCTGCTCTCTGGTGAATACTATAAAAATTTCAGTCATGACTGGGGCTGGAGAGATGGATCAGTGGTTAAGAACACTAGCTGCTCTTCCAGAGGACCTGGGTTTGAGTCCCATCACCTATATGGCAACTCACAACAATCTGTAGCTCAAGTTCCAGGAGATCTGACCCCCTTTTCTGGCTTCCAGAAGCACTGTATTCACACATGGTGCACAGACATATACACAGACAAAACAACTATACATATAAAAAGTTTTAAAAATTCAGGAATGGCCTGGTGACCCTCTTGGCTTGGCCAAGCAGCAGGTTAGAAGAGTCAATGATTGTCAGTTTAGGTTTCCCACGTCTTTGTGTGGGTCTTGCTACTGACTTCCTAAAAACACCTTCCATAGCAGGCCCTTCACAACACAGAACTCCCTCTAACCCAACTGTTTCTTCTTCCTTTGATGCCATCATATGGAATCATTAGCCCATATATTGAAGTTCCCCCAGAACAGTATTTTCAGGTATCATGTGGTTTCACAACTTGTTTGATTACCCATTTATTTTTCAGTAGAAATACTGATGATGGCATTTTGTCCATGTTATTAAACCTTGAGAAATATTATTACCTTAGGGTAAAATCCAACTTACTGGTACACAGACAACATGCATTTTAAAGCCTTTGAAATTAGCCCCAAATTGCCTTTTAAAGGGACTGGGTCACTTGATGCTCCTAAAAGCAGCAGATAGGTACTCAGCCACTTTAAGAATACTTGTGCCAAACTGTCTTATAAAATGCAGCATGCTATAATCCACAATGGCTCTTCCCCAGCTAACTGAGCTAGGAATGTGGAACTATTAAATGTGCTGCCAGGAGATCATTCTTGAAAATGGTTGTGGTGGTTTGGATAAGAGTGGCCCCCATAGGCTCATATATTTGAATGCTTGATCATCAGGGAGTAGCACAACTTGAAAGGAATTAGGAGGCGTGGTCTTGTTGGAGTAGGTATGGCCTTTTTGGAGGAAGTGTGTCACTGAGGGTAGACTTTGAGGTTTCAAAGAAGACCCAAGCAAATCCCAGAGTCTCTCTTCCTGCTGTCCGTGGAGCCAGATATAGAACTCTCAGCTACTTCTTTAGCACCACGTCTGGCTGCACGTCACCCTACTCCCCACCATAATGACAGTGGACTAAACCTCTGAAACTGTAATCAAGTCCCAATTAAATGCTTTCCTTTTTAAGAGTTGCCGTGGTCATGGTGTCTCTTCACAGCAATAGAACACTGACTAAGACAATGGTAGAACTTGGGCCCTGTGATGGTATGTCTGTGTGTTCTCCCACTAGGCTCATAAGTTTGAGCACTTGGTCTCTAGCAGGCGGTGTTGTTTTTGGAGATTGTGGGACTTTAAAGAACCTCTAGAGAACTGGAGGAAGTAGCCACTAGGGAATGAGTCCAAGTCTACTTCCCATTCTGCCTCTGCCTATTGATCCTTGAGAATATGAGCAATAAGCCTTCCCCTCCTGTTGTTTCAGCCTCAAACAGCTCTGGCTGCCATGCCTTCCCCATCATGGCAGACTGTATATCCAAACTACGAACCAAAAGAAATCCTTCCACCCTCAGATTTCCTTTTGTCTGGTATTTTGATCGCAGCAATGAGAAAATTAACATCACCCCTCACTCTGACACACTGATGCTGCATGTGAGACACAGCCTGGATGTTCGTAGGTCTGACTTTACAACTGACAGGTTACACATGTACTAAAAAGGAAGGTTAGCTGGAAATAATGCTCCTTGGATGGGCCCTAAAAACAAAGAATGTTCATAACTGATGAGATGGTGGTGACAGAGAGATAAATACCATGCCAGGAGAAAATACTCTCATGTATGAGCTGGCCAGGAGCCCAGAACACCTCATGCAGGTTCTAAGCCACCATCAACTGTCCAGGGCTAGATGTGTGTGGTACCTTGTAGAAGTGTTTCATACAGAAAAACTAAGCTCTGTAAAGCCCTCAGCTGGTATGGAAAATTAAGCTAGGTTTGCTTGTTTGGGCCATTTAGAAGACAGTTTTGTACAAATGAGGTAGTACAGGTCAGAGCCACGTACCCAGAGTAAGCATCCATCACTGGCACTAAGAAAATTTGCAGTCTACTCTCTTCTTTGTCCATTCATATAACAGTGGAATAGAACACTTTGTAGGGAGCTAGCCCTCAACTATGAAGGCAAAGACTGAGCTCCTACACAGCAGGTAGGAAGACCCCAGATTGCTTCAGACAGTAGCATGTTCTGGTCCTGAGGCAGGAGGCAATGCTCACCTTCACAGTGGTCTCCAAGAGCGGATGCTCTGTAACCCTGGTTGCACACACATTGAAAGGAGCCCTCTGTGTTTCTGCATTGCCCATGAGAGCAGAGGTGATGGTGTTGGCATTCATCAATATCTGTGAACAAAACAGCACAGAGAGACTAGAATCCATCATTTGTATCATAGAAGATAGAGAAATTTCTGGTTTATAATTGAGCAAGACCTTTCATTATGTAAAATACACTAAGCTGGAAAAAAGTATAACTCTACAATAGGAAAATTCCAATAAATTTAAAAATGTAAACCATCTGTGTATATATATTTCACTATTTAATTATAGGTAGCATATGTAGATATGAGTAATTAAAAATAATAAAAAATTTTAAAAAAAGAAAAAATTAGAGGTACCAAATAGTTTGCTGTCATTTGTAAACCCCATTTTGATACATTCAATTTTGACACTTGCTTTGAAACATGCAGGCTTATAATAGCCTAAAGGAAAGGTCAGGCTACTACTAATTAGTATAAATAAAGTTTTGTTTAAAACCTCTCTGTATATTCACTTATTATCTGGTCCATTATAGAAAAGGTTTGTCACTATTTTGTTTTTAAGTAGCACAGCATACGTATTATTACCTCCTTGTCATTTCTAATTTGTCTCTTGGACTCTAAGAAACTGGGCTTCATTCCTTCATTCAACTATCTCTCTATCTCTCTATCTATCTGTCTATCTATCTATCCATCCATCCATCCATCCATCTATTTATCTATCTATCCATTCTCTTTTTTTCGCTATCTCTCTAAAACAATGAGATTCTGGCCAAATCTTCCCCTCACCCTCATCTCACTTGCTATTCCACATTGCCACTTCCTCACTCCTGCTGGAGACAGCATCCTCAACTCGAGCATCATTTGCTTCAGTCACATGACCCTGAGTTCAGGCACTCACCTGTCATGTACTGTATCCACACACAGTAGCACAAAATACACTGCATGGATCCGAATACTTCACCCTCATGGCTACATTGTAATAACAGACTTCCTGGTGGCAGAAGCTGCATTTACCACATTCTCAGATAGGTACTCAATTCACATTACTTGTTGAAGGATTTTTTTTTAACATTAGAAAGCATTTCTCTTTTCCTGCCAGTGTTTCTATAAGGTGTAAAACATGTATCAGTTCCCAGGAGGAATTCAACTCATTTTTCTCCCACACTGTGGTAGTCATACCTTTGGTTTGACTCTCTCAGCATTTGGCAACTAGAGTGTGTTTTTCCCTGTTGATCATCTGGTAGATAGGTGATTCTGGCTACACCCTACTCATCATTGAATGGAACCTGAGAGGCTTTGCCAAAGAACTCTGAATGTGGTAGCCTGATTATATTATGCGCAGATTGTGTATCCACTCATTTGCAGGTAGATAGGGTGAGTGATTATAAAGGTAAACATATTAAGAGGAGTTCTGGAACAAGTTGCCTAACTCATCTGTGAACATGAATGTGTTTGTGTGTATTCTGTCACTGCACACTCTTAGGCTAGTTAGGCATTCAAGATTCTAGAAAGGGACGCCTGGGGAAGGAGACAATAGTAACAGCAGATACTTCTGTAGTCAGCATCAGGTAGATAATCTTGCTTTAATGATGCTGTCAATGAATGGTTTTGCTTATGAAACAGTCATCATCTCTGACAATAAGGGGCAAACTATTTCAGTGTACCGAAATTAGCAAACATAAATTTGAAGATATATACACACTGAAATCATTAAGTACAATACCAGGCCAATGTAGTGACTTTCTAATTGTGGAATCACAGTACATAAAACCTCAACATTAATTTAAATGCTTAAATGGAAGTTACTTTATGTAGTGAAGAGTCACATAGACAGCAACAAGTTTTTTTCTTAGTATGATGCTTAGCCACCAGCCATCAATGTCATATTTTTCTACTTTCTTTCACTTCATTTTATTTTATTGCCTTGTCTGACTTGTGTAAAAGTACCTGGGTTTCTGAAACTATAATGATATAGGCTGGGTCATCCACTCTAGTCTTAGTAGTTCATGATGGCACACACCTACCTTCACATTGGTCTTTAGCTGCTGACAGCTGATATCCCTGTCCACAGGTACACCGGAAGGAACCGTCGGTGTTTTTGCACTGCCCGTTCATGCATAAGTTCCCTTGCTGACATTCATCAATATCTGTTAACATATATGATGGCAACTGGTTTTTAGAAAGAGACTCCCTCAGAGAAGAACATAGTAATCCCTACGAAGTGTTCTGGGGTTCTTTGACTAGCCTTACCAACTCAGTATGTTAGACTACACATATAAGTTAAATCATCACAAAAGCAACTTACAGCTCCCCACTATCTCATCCAAACACTTTGAAAAAGACAACGTAAAAACTTAGAGCTGAAAATGGAAGGCAGAATATAAAACACATGGTAACAGTTACTAGATTCTGTGGGCCTACTACACTGTATGAAAGACAGAAATAAAACTATCAGGAATAAACAAACACAAATCCTGGCAGTTACAGAAGGCAACAGAAGCATGTGTGTTTTTTATAACTTGAATTATAAGGTCACAGAGTTGTGCTAATTAAGACTTACCTGTCATATGTGATAGGTAGAGCTTTAGTTGGGGGGGTGGTAGGAGAGGGTGGGAGGGAGGAGGGAACTGGGATTGTCATGTAAAACAATCTTGTTTCTAATTCAAATTAAAAAAAATCTGAGGAAAAAAAAAAGACGGACCTCTCTTTTAAAGTAACACAGAAACAGAGAAAAATGGTACTAATGGGACATACAATGACAATGAAAGACTCAGAGAGAATGTGGTATTTGAGGACTTAATAAAAGTCCTTTCAGTGAGCCAGGCACATACATGTAATCCCAGCACTTGCAGAGGCTGAGACAGGAGGGCCATGAGTTCCATCTCTGTAGATACATAGGGAAACCCTGTGTCAAAAACTTCCAAACAAACATCACATGCTTTCTCTCTCCCTTTGTCTGCATCTATGTATGTATATGCACATGCATGTAAGAATGTATATTTAGGGCACTCATGTAGAGATAGGAGGATGGGAGTGATCTAAAGGGGAGGGGAGGAAGAAACGAGAGAAGGTAATAAGCTCTGTGTCATGAAGCAGTGGAGAGCAATATTCTGGAGAAGTAGAGAAAAGGGAGTAGGGAAGGGAGCAGAAGGTAAGAGGGGAATGTGGTAATAGTGCATGAAAACGTCATAGTGAAATCCATTTTTAAATACTAGCCAAACATCAGTCAAAAAACAAACAACCCCAAAATAGGAAAAAAAAAAAAAAAAAAAAAAAAAACCCTTGACAAAAGCTAGAGCAACATGTTGAGAAGGATTGTAATATCATAAAGGAACACTACCAAGCATTAGTGTCCTTGGAAATGTCATGTATATGAAGTGACAGGACTGTGGGAAAGCAGGGCTTCATCTATGACATGGGCATTCCTAGTAGGATCAGGGTTGGCTTTCCACATGGCTCTGCTTGTCTACCGTGATGATTTATACTGCCTGTTAACTTGATACGCTCTAGCATCACATCAGTGACAAATCTCTCAGCAGGTGTAGGAGCATTTTCAAGATTAGGTTAACTGAGGTCAAAAGACCTGCACTCCAACCTCCAAACTGCATACAAAAGAGAAAGCAAGCTGTGTGCCAGCATTCACCCACCCATCCCCGCTTCCTCACTGTGCATACAGTATCACAGCCATCTTGAGCACCTACCATCATGACTCCCCCAGCATGCTGGACTGTACTCTCAAACTATGAGTCAAAATAAGACCTTCCTCTCTCAGGTTGTATTTGTCCAAGCAAGGCGGAAAGCAACTAACACAGTTACTGTACAGATCTGGCTTAATTTGAGAATTCTGCCTTGCTTCACCTGGATCACCCAGCCTTCGTGTGTTCTGCTGGATAGCTAGCAATATAGAAGAATTTATAACTAAGCTGGGTGGTGATGGTGCATGCCTTTAATTCCAGCACTCAGGAGGCAAGAGCAGGAGAATCTCTGAGAGTTCGAGGCCAGCCTAGTCTACAGAGCAAATTCTAGGACAGGTTCCAAAGCTACAGAGAAAGCCTGTCTTGAAAAACAACAACAACAACAACAACAAAGAATTTATAATTAAAGCATGGTACAATGGGTCTTCACCACCTGAACCATAGGCCTCTGAGGGCAGGAGGAAGGGAACATGCACAAACCTTACTAGCCTTCTCTCTGACCTAAACAGCAAGGCATAAAGCAACTAAGGGAGCTGGGAAGAAGCCACGTTCCATGATTGATGTACAACATACAACTGTTATTTGCCTCTAAAAATGTCTTAAGGAGCTACGATAATGAGAAGGGAAGAAGAGGAAGGATGCAGAGGTCATGAGGGAGCAGAAAAGTTGAGTCAGGTGTAGATTAGAAGAAAGGATATGTGATAGGTAGGGTTTTAGTTGGGGGGGTGGTAGGGGAGGAAGGGAGGGAGAAGGGAACTGGGATTGTCATGTAATTCAATCTTGTTTGTAATTCAAATAAAAAAAATGTGTCTGAAAGTGTTTACCAGGAATACCCATTCACTGTACAGTCCTAAACCCTTTAGTATGACTGACAGTTGTCTGTTTCCTGAGTAAAGATGGACTGCTTAATCTCTAATGAGCTATCAATCCTCTGACCCTTCTCCTGAGAAAAGTAAGATGTCAAATCATTCCAAGTTTCCCAAAATAGCTTCCACATTATGAATACAGTTAGTTAGGATTATTTTACTTTGCACTTACTTTCATTTATTAAAATCTTTTTAATTACTTCACTAGTTCTGTGAGTAGCTACTTTTATTTGTTAAGAATTCCTGTTTGTGCACAGGGACGTTGCATCATGAAGCCAAACTTCATCCTCAGAATTATTTTGCACCTTTCCAGAATACTCAGCCTCTTAGCATCAGGGGTGGTTGTAGATGCCTCTCTACTTTGCATGAAAACACGTGAGATATCAGTACACACACTGAGACCAACAACAGCTCTTGCTAGACCTCACATCAAATCTGACAGAATTTTTACTGCTTTGGCATCTTTCTGACTTTCTCATAGATGATGGCAAATTAGGTATTCCCACAGGAGGACATCTGCCAAGAGGATAGGCACTCCTCCAAGTACCATCAAGGTTCATCAGACCTCACTTAAGACTACTTGTTTATGTTAGGAAGACTACCCAAAGCCATTCATTAGAAGTCATGACACAGATACCTGGAATAATGGCATGTCATTATCTTACACAAAGTGCTCTCTGTATCTTTAAAATGACCAAAGGGAAAAGAAGTACCATAGATTTAGAGATGATTTTGTTTCTTTTTCCAATGAGGGACAGAATCATTGAAACAAAGAGTAAGTTTCTATTACATAGGCATTTAGGGTACATCTTACTTTTAACAATCTTGCTGTGACAAACCCTGTCCAAAGAAAAGAATATAGATTGTCTATGGCTGTTTATAAACTTAGGACATACAAATATATATTATAGCATATATAATATTGTCTCATATATATGAGACAATATTATATATGCTATAATGTTAAGAGTAAGAAGCAATGAATTAATACATTGAAACATTAGATATACTCTTAGAGTCTCAAAAAGTCACCAGGACATTTAATGAGGTAAAGACAAAGTAAACATTAGGGGCCATCAACAAAGTAAGATTGGTGTAGTTCCTCAGATATTGGAGAAGAAGCAGACTTATGATTTGGGATGAGTCTGAGGTAAGATGTTCTTTAAGGAAAAAAAACTAAAGAAAAAGTTGTTCTTAGTAGAGAAAGGAAAGGCTTTGGTAGCAGAGTACTGAGAGCAGTTAACTCACTGTAAGCACCCAAAGTCCAACATAGGATTCCCTTTATTCTATCCTAGACATTATCTAATGGGAGACTCAGTGAAGAGGGCAGGGTTGAAAGCCAAGCAAAGCCAACAGCTCTTTCCCAGTTCCTATCTTTGCACTGTGCTGTTTCCTCTCCCTGCTAAGTCCCCCCCCCCCCCCCCCCCCCCAGGCACTCAGTATCTATGACCAGGTTAGAACAGCAATACCTCCTCAAGGCTCTCCCAGCACACAAGCAGAATGAACCGAACTTCTTGGATTTTACAAGGCTTTTCTCATTGCCTCTAATGTCACAAACACAACCAAGACTGTCATGTCACTTTCTGCATACACATCAACCTATTCTCCAGAAACTTCCCAGCTGGAATTAAAACAACTAGTCTTCACATGATTCTGTCAGTTTGTTATCATGGTTGATCCCTTCTGCACATAAGGAAAGTGGCCCATGGTGAACTAACACAGCCCATTCAAAACAGCAGCTTATAAGGCCTGGCAGAGCTTTTCTTTTTAAAGAAGTTCTGGGGATGGAACCCAGGACTTCATACATGCTAAATGTGCACATGGTCAGTGGTCTCCAGATTCATTCATCCCATTAAAAAAATAAACCATGGATTTCTTTTGAATTTTACACCTTTTCTCCTAGTTCTCTTCCTCTATTGGAGTCAAACCAGGGTTCTACTTTATGTTTAGTTGTCTTGGTTCCCAGAACCCTGTACCATGCCTTTTTTGTGATATCTTTTTCTGTGCTATCTTTATCATGATTAGATCGGGGGGACATAGATTTTTAGAGAGAGAGAGAGAGAGAGAGAGAGAGAGAGAGAGAGAGAGAGCAATGTAGACATGAAGTGTTCTGGTCATTAAATACATCAGTTATCTGGGTCATTCTCATGACAACAGTGATAACCCTAGCCTTAATTATTTGGTTAAGGTAGCTACTTCTAGTGGAATTAAGTGGGGTGCTAGGGAGAATTATCAGAGAGCAGAAGGCTAAGTTGTTTGGGCAATGGTCAAAAGGAAGACAGTTGTACCAGCCATGGACTCAATGTGTGTCTAGTCTGAGTTTCATCCCTTTAGAGACTATAGGTTGCTAACATTGCATGACATGAAGTCTGGAAGTCAGAGGTTATTAATGTAAGGTCTCACAGTCATCCACAAGAGGAGCCACTATGAAAGAAGCAGTGGGGAAGAAGGTGGGTATGAGCAGCATTTGGGTCTAAATAAGCCAGAGCACTCAGATAGCATGATGGTAACTTGGATGGGTCAGAGAATACAAGCTGAAGAAGGCAATAGGGACAATGACATTTGGAATATGAGATAGAGATAGAAATTATAAGAGCTTTTCTCAACAGCAGATTAAAAAATCAGGGAGATAAAGTGTCCGGATATGATTATAAAGTAAGCATATCAACTGAATATGAATTGACAATGACATCTAAGGTTCAAGATCTTTGGTCACCATTACCCTGGTAAGTGTGGTGGGGTGCTATTGAGAAAAGATGGGAGAGAAATTCTAAAAAGTTCCTGTGTAGAACTTGGCCTGAGAAGATGCATATTTTAAGGAGTCAATAGGAAAGGCTGAGTATGGGTGAACAGAGAGGGAACCTGGAGAAATGGAGACATGTCTACTTTATGTCATTCATAGGCATTGACTGGCATTTCACTGTGGGCAAGGAACAGGGCACCCGATCCAATGCCTTTAGAGCACCTGCTACAAGCAGAGAATGATTCATCTCCTATGGAACACTGTGACATTCCTTTATTAATTGCCTACTTCAAGGAGAACGTAATATCCCAGCTCCTTCACTTAAAGTTCAACACTAACTTATGAAAGAAGAAGAGCTTGTATTATTTCCTCATTTTTGCCTTGGGGCAAGCATGCTTTGGGGTATAAGAGTAGTGGAAGAAAGCAGAACAACCTATAGTTTGGTTGTAAGGAAAATAATAATTGAGAGCTGAGGAAATGGCTCAGTTGAAGAGTGCTTACTCTGCTAGCAGGAGGACCTGTGCTCAGATCTCCCATAGCCACATAAAAAGCAGGGATGGCTATGTGCACTTTGTAACTCCAGCACTGGAAAATGGAAATAGGCCAATTCCAAGAGCTTACTGGCCACTCAGCTTAGCTTAACAAATCTTCAACTCAGTGAAAGACTTCTTGATGTCCTGCTATGGCCTTCACATGAATATCTATGGGTGTATATACACACACACACACACACACACACACACACACACACACACATTTGTTTAAGAATTAGGGACAATACAGACCAATTATAATATGCCATAAAATGCACATCAAATATATATATATATATATATATATATATGCATGTACAAAGACACATACATAAATATGAGTGTGTATTAAGAGATCACACATATTTATTTGAAAATAAGAAGCTTGATAAATATAAAAAGCTATTAAAAAGACGCATAAATAACAAATATAAATTGTTAATGAAAAATAAGATATTTATCAATAACTGCAAGTGTTTAAGAAATTGTCAAAGAAAATGAGGATAAAAAATGAAACTTCTTAAAATTAAAAGAAATACACATTTAAGAACCATAAGTGTATATTTTCCTATTTAATATTAAAAAATCCAGGAAATATTAACAAATATTGCCACACTTAAAGAAAAATAATTTTAAAGTTGAGGCAGAGGTTTATTTTAAAAAGAGATCTGCCAATGATGAGAAGTTGGGAAAACTATGACAACATATTATGAATATTATGTGAACTTGAAAAAGATATTTGAAGAGTTAGTAAGTATATGTAAAATGTGTGTAACATACAACTGACAAATGGCAGATGAAAACTGTGCATATCAAATACAGTGTTCAAGACATGTGACATTTATAAATCCAGCTGGATGGACCCACAATAAGGAGCCAAATATGCACCAAGTAATCAATAGAAAAAAACACAGTAGCACGGTCCATTTTTAAGGTCAGCCACTCAATTCTACTCTTGAAGGATGTGCAAATGCAATGGGCACAGCATTACCTTGACAGTGTCTATGGTCTGGTGTAGGGCTATAGCCCTTGTGACAGGAACACATGTAGGAGCCTTCAAGGTTGGTGCAGGAACCATTCGTGCAGACCTTTGGCTGCAGGCACTCGTCCACATCTTGCAAGTTGTTGCATAATGGAAAGAAACAAAAAGAGAGGAAAAGAAAGCATGAATCAAATCAAGCTTGATTAAAGATGGGAAGAGCAGACCTTCACAACACCAGGCAGATTCTTGGACTTCCAAGGTGGTCCTGAAGAGAAGCAGCAGCTGTGCTTCGCAGTGGACCACGGTTCCGTTCATTCATTTTCTAAGGGCAATGAAGGCCAGACCGAATGAGCTGTGTAAACAAATCAAAAATGCATGGAGGGCCTGTTGGAAGGGAGAGGGGGTTGGAGATGGTAATTTTAGGGCAATATGTCCTGCAGAATAAAATCTCTAGAGAAAGGGGTAGGAACCATTCTGAGAGTTGATGGGTCCAGGAAGATGGGAGAGCCTTCAGAAAAAAAATCTGTGACTGGAAGACAACCCTGGGCTTATAACGGAAGGAGGAAGTCATTCACACCTCTACAGTGCAGTGAATTGGTGTGATAAAACCAATCCAGGGCTGCTTCTTGAGAGGCTAATTGGGCAGCTAGAAGGGAGACTGCAGATCAGATGACAGATGCTATAGTCACAGTAGCAGGTACTAAAGAAACTGTGTGGGCAAAAAATGCTCTCTATAATTTTAGAAAAATTAACATGGGACAAGGTTTTCAGAAAGGAACAGATACTTAGAGAAGTTCAGTATCTTGCCCAAGTTCACAGGATTAGAAAATGGTGATGATTCTGGGGCTGGAAAGATGGTTTAACAGTTAAGAACACTGGCTGTTCTTACAGAGGACCAGGGTTCAATTCCCAGCACCCACATGGCAGCTCACAGCTGTCTATAAGTCCAGTTCCAGGGGATCTGATGCCCCATTCTGGTCCCAGAGGACACCAGATACACACATGGTACACATATATACATGCAAGCAAAACACCCATACACAGAAAATAAAGTAAAATTTTAAAAAGAAAGAAAGAAAATGGTGGTTCTGAGATTGGAATCCAAAGCCCATTTTTTAAAAACTCTGTAATACACTTCTGTCATAGGCAAAGTTCAGTCCAGTGATAAACATAGAGAGTGGATGAGTTTGGGTGCTTTTCATTTGCTAACCATACTGATAATGAAAATGTTTGTTTAAATTCTCACTGGTTTCATTTAACAATCATTCATTGAGTTCTTACTTGACGGTTGCTACTAAGAAGGAAGAGGGCTGGGTGTTGGTGGTGCACACCTTTAATCCCAGTACTTGGGAGACAGAGGCAAGTGGATCTCTGTGAGTTCCAGACCAGCCTAGAGCAAGTTCAAGCACAGCCTCCAAAGCCACTGAGAAACCCTGTCTCAAAAAAAGAAAAAACAGATGAAGAAGAAGAAGAGGAGGAGGAGGAGGAGGAGGAGGAGGAGGAAGAGGAGGCACAGTTGGAAAAGAGTCGTCATGTAAGTGGGAGGACCAGAGTTTGGAATGTCAGAACCCACCCAAATGTCAGTGGGCATGGTGGCCTCCTGTCATGCCAGCACTCAGAAAACAGAGACAGGGAATTCTTGGAAAAAGTTGCCTAAGCAGGGTACCAAAAATTGCCAGCCCTGGGTTCAGTGAAAGACCCTGCCTCAATAAATAATAAAATCAGCCTTGACTGCTGAAGACCCCTAAGGTCATCCTTGGGCTTCCACATACATGCGCACACGCGCACGCACACACACACTGAAATGTACATGTGAGCTTGCATACACACCAAAAACCAGTTTTAAATTCTGTGTCCTATCTGAATGCTCTTAGGTTAGTCACTCACGTTTGTCACTACCTATTTGAGTGTAACATCAATAATCAGCAAGGAAAACCCTCAGAATTGCTAAAACACCATGCATCACTATAATCTGGTCTAAGTATTATTAGCCTATTAACTTAATCAAAATTATCTTTTGGAAGATTTATTTTTAAGTATTGTGTGCATATGTGTCTCTGTGTGGAAGAGCATGTATACATGAGTGTGAGTGCTCACAAAGGCTAGAAAAGGGCAGTATCCTCCTGCCCACTGAAGCTGGAGTTACAGGCAGTTATGAGCCACCCAACATGGGTGCTGAGAACTGAACTTAGGTTCCTCTGAAAGATCAGTGTGGGCTTCTGGCTTTCAAGCTATCTCTCCAGCCAAACCAAAACATCATAATCACTAAAGCTCTTAAATACATCTATTCCATTGTCCACTGTTCACCAAGAAAGCAAAAATGCTGTTGTCTGTCCTCAGAAAGTAGCATGCCAGCAGCCCGGCGTAGACTTTGCCTTCATTTAGCAACTTAGAGCTTGGATGACTCTTATTTTCCCTGAATTTTACAAAGATGGTTTTCTTTCTTAAGAGAGAACTCAGAAGCAGAGTTACACTAAACATAGCGGAGGCACATCTGGGAGTGTGCATTCCATATGAGGACCGAGAGAGAAGCCATTGGCATTGCCCACAGAGCCCAGAGTCACTTTCAAAAAATACCCATAATTACAGTGCTCCAATCTTAGTTCTGACAACAGCAAATAGTCCTTCAGGCTGCCTCATTACCTACCCTTTCTTTGCTTGTGGGAACCTACTTTTGTAAACACCAAGAGCAAACAACTTGAGAGAAGATGCCAAGAGTTAGAGCCAAAGTAAATAGTGGAACAGAACGAGCCTAGACATGGGGCATGTAAAATTCCAGACAGCAGCAAGAGAATGTCATGTCTAGTATCTGGTTTGGTTTCAAAAATGTTAACAAGTTGAGAAATGTATGGACTCTCTGTTTAATTACTCATGCCCCAGCAAAAGTGATTTACAGAGCTATAGAATGTAGCAGCAAAGCCTGTTCCTAAGGCTATATTTTATTTAAATTGCAGACACTGCAGATTGCCATGCATGAGTACTTACAAAGTTGACTTAAAAAAAACCTACCAGCATGATTAATGATGAAGCAAAATGCTGTGTAATAACTAGGACAGTTTCATGCGTTTATTCTTTTCTTAACTTATTATAGACAAAATTGCACAAACCAGTCATTTCCATAGACAAACCAGTTAGAGTTGAATAGATGCATGGCCTGGATGGAGATTAAGCTCTGGGAGGTATATCACACAGCAAAATATCCCCAAGGCATTTCTACAAAGAAGGAAAGTAGCTAAAGAGCAGACAGACAGACAGACAGACAGACAGACAGACACACACACACACACACACACACACACACACACACGGGAAAGAGGAAAGGAAGGGAGAGAGAGAGAGAGAGAGAGAGAGAGAGAGAGAGAGAGAGAGAGAGAGAGAGAGAGAGAGAGAGAGGCAGGCTTGACTGATACATGAAGAACAAAGTAAACTCCATAATGTATCCTGAAACCAGAATTCTTCCCTAGATTGCAGATTCATGCATCCAGCTAGTCAGCCTAATGAATACCCCTCTGCTCTCTCACAGGTACCTCAGAGTCTTCACAGACAAACCTGACTGCACCCTGACTTCTGTACGGTGTTTCCTACATTTTCCTGTGGTACCACCACCAACTCAAAGGCTTGTGGCAGAAACCCGGAGCCATTCCTTCTACACGCCCTCTCCCTCCATCTTTACATTCTAAGATTGCTGAGATATTTCAACCTCCTTCCATGACACCTCTCCACTATACTGATTTCATTCCATTTCATTCCATCTCTATGGCTCCCATTTCTTCTCTCCTGGATTGCTGTTGTGATTTTAAAATTAGGTTTTTAAAAGTCTTACCATGTCTACTCTAGCTTGTAGGCAGAACAGTCTCTAAAATTCAAGTCTGAGCAATCATTTTGCTCAAGTACTGTAACATGTTTCAATAGTTTCTGGTATTTTTAAATTTAGCCAAGGACAAAACACATGGGACTTTATTGATATCAGAAGTTTAAGGTCCCATACTTCTTATTTCTAACCTGTGGGATAGTCTCCCACCAATATACCACAGGAAGCAAGACAGACCCTGCCAAGCCACCATCTGCCTTTAACCATTAGAAGGAGACAATCATGTCTTTAGTTTCCCATATTAGAGTTCAAAGTTCATGTTACTACAGCCTATGGTCATATAGAATATACATACTACCCAAATTGTTCCAGTGCATAATGCACAATGAGTTCAAACAGTCTCAGATTCTTGTCTCAGGCAGGAAATGTTATCAGGAAAAAACACACTCCACAATGGGTTGTTGGGGTGTACCAACCTGGTGTCTACCATTCAGTGAATTAAACTGAACTTCCCAGAGTAAGGAAATGGCAGCAATTTACACAGTCAGACTTCATGGCTGTAACAGCTCAAAAATTTATGTATCCATCTTCTTATGCTACCACCAGTTCAAAACTGATCCTTATCATCTACTGTATCCTGAGAGATGGAGAAATGCCTTGTTCGAATCTTGGGGTGCCAGGCCAGGTGGGTGTGCTGTATGAGTCCTCTAACAACCATGTAATGATTTGTTCTTACTGAACTCTGGCTGGCTCATAGAACACGCCTTGCTTTTAAAAACCTTCCATACCATTGTTAGGATCAAACATTCTGCAGTTCTTTGTCAAGATTAACATGCAGATAAGTGGATAAATCCCCAATTCCACCTTCTTTCCTCTTTCTGAGGAAATGAGGACATGCTCCTCCCTGAGCCCTCTGGCAAGTTCCCATTCTCTGCAATTTCCCAAAGATGTCTCCCAGGTGGCCAGCAATCCCACCTTGCTAATTCTCATGGTCTTGCAATATAATTCATGTGAGTCAGGAATCTCTTTTGAACTTTCCTAATATCCTGGGAGCACACCACATTGCCTCAAATCCCTCATTGTTGGGCATGAACTACCAGGTGCAGAGGGTCTGAGGAGGCTGTATCCGCCCATTCATGTTCTTCTTGGACTACTCTTGTTCTGACACATAACCTGTCAGTTCCTTGGAATTGGCTCGAATATGTCCCAGAGCAGTAATTTACATGCATTATTTCCTGTATTTTCAAGGATATGGATCTGTCAACAACATGAAGCAATCATTTCTCTGAAACCATCCAACCACAATTAATTCCTTAGTCAC